TATTATTATTATTATTATTATTATTATTATTATTATTATTATTATTATTATTATTATTATTATTATTATTATTAGATAATTTTGTTCTAATTAATTAATATAATAATTTACGCGTTTTATTTTTTATTTTTTTATATGATAATGATAAATGATTAAATGATTAAATGAATGGAAATAAAGTGTTGTGGTTAATTTTTTGCATATTTTTTATGAATACATATGACGTAAATGTGTGTGTAAATGTATGTAATAACAGTAAAATACGTGCTTCTCATACACGTTTTAATTTTTATTCCTTATCTTTGTCGTTGTTAACTTGTTGACTTGTTTTAGCCTATCAAAAGATAAAATATTCCCAAAGAATCGATCAATCAAGAAATAAATCAATGATTGAGTGAATGAATATAATTTATGTAATGCGTGACAGTTTATTGTTGTTGACATTTTACACTCATTTTAATAGAGTTTCCAAATCCTTAAATCAAAAAACTATTCATTTAGGTCCCAAAGAATCGATCAATCAAGAAATAAATCAATGATTGAGTGAATGAATATAATTTATGTAATGCGTGACAGTTTATTGTTGTTGACATTTTACACTCATTTTAATAGAGTTTCCAAATCCTTAAATCAAAAAACTATTCATTTAGGCGCTCATTTCTAAATAGATAGACGGCGCGTGTGATGCGTTTGTTATTATTATTACCATTATTGGCTATCAGTTACCAGTTATTTTAAATTACATGTATGTAAGTGATGAAGCACGCAATTTTATTTTATTTGATTGTTCTTTTTCGTTGTTATCTTGTATATTCTTGTCGAATGATTTACAACACGTAATTTATATTTATATATATATATATATATATGTACATGGATAAATAAATATATGCGGGTTAGGATGCTTCGTCTGGCATATTGCTGGAACAATCGTAAATTAAATTAATATTGTTCTTTTTGGTCTTTTTTTGGGTTCTAGACTGACAGAGTTAGCGATAATTCAGATTTTCATTGAGTTAATTGATGATTAACTAATTGGTTAGTCGAGCGATGACGACGGCGGAAATTATTTATTCTTATTTCTTCAAAACCATTTTTATAAAAAAACATGTTAAATTTAAACATCCAAGTACAAATATGTCAACTTCAAATGATTAGATCAATGCTAACTATTGTTCTTGTAACTCCAGTGTTTCAATTAGCTAAAAGGAAAAATAGAAATATTTGAAAGAAACCCATTAGTAATAAACAAAGGAATTGAAAAACCATATTGTTCAGAATATTGTATTTTTATAATGCAAAAAGTAAATGTGGATATTAAATAGGCGTGTGTTAAAATAGTGTAGAATGGGGAAAAAATGGGGG